TGACACAGTGGTTAAGAACTCTCCTGCCAATGCAGGGGACACGGGTTCGAACCCTGGTCCAGGAAGATCCCATATGACGCGGAGCAACTAAGCCTGTGCGCCACAACTACTGAGCCTGCGCACTGAGAGAGCCTGTGCTCCGCAACAAGAGAAGCCACTGCAGTGAGAAGCCCGCGCACCGCAACGAGAAGAGTAGCGCCCCCCGACTTGCTGCAACTAGAGAAAGCCCGTGCGCAGCAACGAAGACCCAACGCAGCCAAAAATAGAAAGATAAATAAATAAGTTAATTAATTAATTTTTAAAAAATACACCAAATTGGGACTTCCCTGGTGGTCCAGTGAGTAAGACTCTGCACTCCCAGTGCAGGGGGCCCAGGTTGGTCTGCACTCCCAATGCAGGGGGCCCAGGCTGGATCCCTGGTCGGGGAATCTCGCGTGCATGCCGCAGTACCGCAACTATGAGCCTGTGTACCACAGCTAAGACCTGGTGCAGCCAAAATAAACAAATAAATATTTTTTAAAATAAATAAATAAATAATAAATAAAATACACCAAATATTTTGAAAACAGTCTTAGTATTTAATTTTTTAATACACCCGAGGCCCCCAAAATGGACATGATTGAGGTGGTTCTCAAACCTCCAAGGGGTGTCCCTGACCCGGCATCTAATTCTTTCCAAAGCACAAGGAAACTTACTCCCATCAACATATGGTAGAGTCTTCAATCCCCATTCCCTTCAAACACACAGGTTTCCCCATCTTGAAAAGCTCTCCTGGATTCTGCTGCAGTCTTGAAAGATTTTTCTCATTTTCCCCTTTTCTCTCAAGCCAAGGTTTTCCAAAAGCTGTCTGTATTCCTTCCCCAGTCATTTCTTTTTAACCCAACCTCTATGTCTGCATCCCAACCAGGCATTTACTGAAACTTCTCCCTAAAAGGCCCTCGTGACCCCTTTCTTCCCACCCCAGGCCTCCTCTCTGCTTTCACTTTCTTTGGCCTTGTATTAGCATCTAACACAGCTTGCTTTGAGAAGCTCCTTTGCTCTTGTCTTCCCGGACTTTCTGCCATCCTACAATCCACAAGTCACAGGGTTTTCAAGGAGCCCTGAAAGCCCAGGGCTGGTATCCCTCTGCATCAACCCTAACTGTGCCTTCAGCTCCTCTACCCTGAGCAGGGACTATCTTTATTTGTTCCGTTAATTCCAGTTTCTGCCCTTCAGACTGTACAGAGTAAACAAATTCTTGTTCCACGCTGCAGCTCTTCAAATATTTGGATCTAGTTTTCATATATACAAACGCTCACTACAGTTAAGCTTTTTTTTAGGTGAAAAGCCTTTCTTCTTCCATAAACAGCTTTCATACGGAGCAGCTTAGAGACCCCTCACTATTCCTATCACCCTCCTCTGGATTAAATCATTTTGTCAGTCTTTTAAAATGTAGCTTCCCAGAGAAGCAGTACCACACAGTGGTTAGGACAAGGACTCTGGAGTTACACAATCTGGGTTTGGATCCAGCCTTTATGACTTATTGGTAGGGTGACCTTCAGCAAGCTGTGTATCCTCCCAGAGCTTCAATTTCCTCATCTTTAAAATGGGCTAATAAAAAAAAAAGGGCCAATAATTCAAAGGGTAGTTGAGTGGATTAAAAGACATAATCCACGTGATGCCACGTGATGCCTATGATCGGCAGTCACTGATTCATTCATTCATTCATTCAACAAATATTTATTTATTGTCTGCTTTATGCCAGACATTGCCTTTGGCACTGGGGATTCACCAGTAAAAGAATAGATCCTTGCCCCTATGGAACTTATATTCTTGTGTGTGGTGCAGGGAATAAACATGATAAGTGAGTAAAATATAGTATGTTAGATAGTGATAAGAATTTTCCAAATTTTTAAGTTCTGTGTCCTTTTTGATGAACAATTCCACCTTTGAATCATTTTTATCTTTTACTACAAGCATCCAAGAGAAACCAGGCTGCTTCTTCAACACTTTGCTTAGAAATTTCCTCAGCCAAATATCCAATTTCATTCCTCACAAGTTCTACCTTCCACGGAACACTAGGACATGAACACAATTCAACCAAGTTCTTTGCCCCTTTATAACAAAGATCGCCTTTCCTCCAGTTTCCAACAGTGTCTTCCTCATCTCCTTCTGAGACCTCATCAGAATAATCTTTACCATCCATATTTCCACCAACATCTGTTCACTTAGGTATTCTCTTGAGAGATTGAGTCTCTCTCTGTAGCTCTCTTCTTCTGAGCCCTCATAAGAACCACCCTTAACAGTCCATTCACAGCAATGTAGGCTTTCTCTAGCATGCACCTCCAGTCTTCCAGCCTCTGCCCATCACCCCGTTCTAAAGCTGCTTTCACTTTCTTATGTATTTGTAACAACAGCACCCCGACTTCTCAGTACCAAGTTTCCATCTTAGTCCATTCAGGCCACTATAACAAAATACAACCAATTGGGTAGCTTATAAACAAGGGAAATTTATTGCTCACAGTTCTGGAGGCTGGGAAGCCCAAGATCAAGGTGCCAGCATAGTCACCTTCTGGTGAGGGCCCTCTTCCCGGTTCACAGTCAGTGTTTTCTATGTCCTCACATGGTGGAAAGGGCTAGGGATCTCTCTAGAGCCTTTTTTACTAGTTCCATTCTGAGGGCTCCACCTCATGACCGAAGCATCTCCCAAAGGCCCACTTCCTAAAACTATCATCTTTGGAGGTTAGGAAATCAAGAGATGAATTGGGGGTGGCGGGAGGGACACAAACATTCAGACCAGAGCACCTTGGCTGCTGCACATGCTAGTAGTTTGATCTTGAGCAAGTTATCTAACCTATCTGTGACTCAGTTTCCTCAATTATAAAATGAGGACAAAAATAACACCTACTTCCTGGAGGTGCGGTGAGGATTAAATGAGATGATATATGTTCAGTGCTGAGAAGAGTGCCAAACATATGGTGAGTACTCTATCAAAGTTAGATACTGGTGGGACTTCCCTGGTGGTGCAGTGGTTAAGAATCCGCCTGCCAATGCAGGGAACATGGGTTCGAGCCTTGGTCCGGGAAGATCCCACGTGCCGCGGAGCAACTAAGCCTGGGAGCCACAACTACTGAGCCTGCATTCTAAAGCCCGTGAGCCACAACTACTGAGCCCACGTGCCACAACTGCTGAAGCCCGTGCACCTAGAGCCCATGCTCCACAAGAGAAGCCACCGCAATGAGAAGCCTGTGCACCACAACGAACAGTAGCCCCCGCTCACCACAACGGAGACCCAACGCAGCCAAAAATAAATAAATATTAAAAAAAAAAAAAAGATACTGGCATTTTGAAAACCAAATACCTGCCCATTTTCCAGTACTTTTCACAATTTCTCAGAGTTCCAAGAACATCTCCACAGACCCATTTCTAAATGGCCTTGGTCTACAGTGTGATATATATGGGCTTGGACACTTAAAATCACTAAACGAATTAAAGCTTAAACTAATTATAGGTTCTCTTTCACTTCTTCCTATTTTCTTTTGGCTCAAATTCACTCTTTTATTTGCCTGCGTTGGGTCTTCATTGCTGTGCGTGGGCTTTCTCTAGTTGAGGCGAGCGGGAGCTACTCTTCTTTGCAGTGCACGGGCTTCTCCTTGCGGTGGCTTCTCTTGTTGCACAGCACGGGCTCTAGGCTTGTGGGCTTCAGTAGTTGTGGCACGTGGGCTCAGTAGTTGTGGCACATGGGCTTAGTTGCTCCGCGACATGTGGGATCTTCCCAGACCAGGGCTCGAACCCGTGTCCCCCGCATTGGGAGATGGATTCTTAACCACTGCGCCACCAGGGAAGTCCCCAACCTAGATCTTGATTTTTTTTTTTTTCCAAATCTTAGTTTATTCAGCATTCCAGACCATGGGCTCTTCCTCCTCCTCCTGCCCCTTACAACTCTTCCCATCTCGCCACCACTTTTCCAGTTTTATTTCTAAATTCATTTCTAAACTCCCCACAAGCCCACTCCCAAGTACTCCCCATGGCTGACTTTTTAAATTTATATATCTGACCTCTCTTCCCAACTATTCTGTAAGCTCCTTGAAGTTAAAGTGAACTCTTACAAGTTCCAGGCATCTGCTAAGTAGCCAGCATAGAGAACACAGCCTGCACTCAACTAAAACTTCCATGATGGCTTTCAGGACTTAAGTATTTTTAATTTCCCCAACCTCTCTGCCCTGCTTCCCTTTATTCAACATCTTCCTCCCACACTTAGGGTTCTATTTCACCCCTCATTAATCCCAAGGGCTATAGTAGGGAACAGAGAGAGACCAAGGAACCAAGTTCCCTTGGCATGGGACCAAGATCCAAGTGGCAGAAGGACTTTTTATGGCCAAGTCTATGGCTTCAGGCCCTGCTGAGGTCTCAGTTTTGAACACATCAAAACTGATGTCAACAACAAATGTCATGAACAGAAAACTGTCTGTACCATTTGTAAAGAGGCGAGAGTAGTAAGGTTCTGAATGTACACTCTGTCCAAAGCCAGATTGCCTAGTTTCAAACCCTTGTTTCAGCATTTACCAGATCCATGATCTTGGGCAATACTAAACCCCTCTGTACCAGAGTTTCCTTACCTGTAACATGGGAGTAACAATAACCACTTTTCAAGATTGTGGAGAGGATTAAAAGAGCAAACACTTGAAAAGTGCTTAGATCTGTGCCTGAAATGTGAAAAAAAGCTCAAAAACTATTTGCTACTGTTATTGTTTACTATTATAACCTATAAGTGCCACAAGAAACCTGCAACCCAAGCCCACATAAATTAGAAATATCTCTTGTGACTAATAATAATAATTGCTAGCGTGTATGAAACACTCCCTAGATGCTCAACTTGTATTATCTCCCTAAATGTTGACAATAACCTTAAGAGGGAATTGTACATTATTATTTTTTTTTTTTTTGGAATTGTACATTATTAACCCCATTTTACAATTGAGAAGCACAGAGAGGTTAAACAATTTTCTCAACATCACATGGCCAGCAAGAAGGGAAGGCACATTTATTCCTTTATTGAATTACAGTGTCTCAGCAGGAGAAAAGCCTTGTGGGTACAAAGGTAAACAGTCCAGGCCCCAGCCTACAGGAAGTTTCAGTTTCCACAGCAGGGGAGGGGCAGGGGCGGGAAGGAGTAAACAAATAGTTACAACACCGTGTGGTAATTGCTATAATAGAGGCTCATCAAGAAAAGTGCTACCGCATCCCAGACACTGGGACAAGAAAAGTACTGAGAGCTTAAGGATTCAAAGGAAAGACATGACAGTTACGGAATAAGCAGTTGCCCTTTGACAGACGTGTCCTGTAACTAACGTTACACGGAAAGGACTAAACAAAGCAGAGTTAAAAGTAGAAGCTGAGCGCCTTCAAAGCCCAAGTGACAAGACCCTGCACGACCGGAAAGGCGTTAAGACGGTCGGGTGGGCGGAGAGCGCGTTGATTGGCAGGGGTGGGGCCAGGCTCGTCACCCGCCCCCTCCTCCGCCCGGGCTCCTCCAACCCCTGGGCTGGCTGGGGTACAGTCTGCGCGAGGGACTGGGCGTTGTGCCGGGCCGCCTGTCCGCCTCCCCCGCTCCCCTGCCGCGTTCCGCGGGCTGGACGCGCTGGAGAAGTTGAGCAGCGCCCGGGCCGGCCCTGGGGGCTGACAGTCGGTAAAGTTTGGCCCAAAGAGGAAGTGGCCTCAAGCCCCAGCAGGTGGCGGCCAGGCCTGTACCGGGGCGCTCGCGGCCTGCGGGCCGGCTCTAGGCGAGGGCGCGCCGCAGCGCCGGTCTTTCAGCCGATTTCCGGGGCTTCGGGGGCCGGCATCGGGAGAGAGCGAGGCGGCGGCCGGGGAAAACAACTCCGAAGTTGGCGAGAGGCACCGCCCCTGCGCTCGGGCCGCCTCCGCCCCCCACCCGCCCCCAGCCCTGGCCTCCAGAGCACCGGTCGAGGAGCCCGGGCCATGGAGGCCCCTCGGGGAGGCGACACTGGGAGGGCAGGACGCCCGGAGCGGCGCCGCCTCCCCACTGGGTAGACCACCGAAGCTCCGGGACTCTTCTTGCACCTGCGGACGGCTCACGATGCTGCCGGCCATCCTTCTCCTCCTCCTGGGTAAGAAACCGAAAACGAGACTACTCGCCCGGCAACCCGCTCCCAGGGCTGTCACCGGGCCCAGGGGCTCTAGCTCCCTTCCTCCTACGTGGCCCCTCACCTTACCCTGCCTGCCCGTGCCCGGCACTGCCTGCCCCAATCCCCGGGAACTCTCTAGCCGCTCTCCTCAGCCCGCAGCCTCCCTCTGGCTTCCGTAGATCACCGTACCCACTCCATAGGCCGTGCTGCCGGACCTTCCTCCGAGGTCACACACCGCTGCCTTCCTCTGCTCCACCACCCCTTCCTGTAAACTACCCGGAAGCCGCAGATGGCTCCCTTTCCTACTTGACTCGCTCAGGTGAAGAAAACTCCGAAGCGTGACTCTTGCCCTTTTTCGCTCTTCCTCTAGGAGACGCTGTGGCCCACCCAGACAGGATCATTTTCCCAAATCCTGGTGAGTAGAGGATGCCCCTGGGGTCCCATGGGCTTGGTAATGAGGGAGGACCCAAGAGAAAGACTCTCTCTTCCTTGAATTCCTCTAGTACCTACCATAGTTTTAGAGTGGAGCTCATCCACCCTTTATTTTACAGATGGAGAAACTGAGACCTAGCATAAGCCCTCAGCCGGTGGTTATGTATTTTTTCCCCAAATATCCATCCTTGATCGGCCTAGCCAAAATGTAGTCTTCCTGAGGATAGAAACAGTATTTCCCGGTTCCTCCTGGCCCAGTGGCTGGCACAAAGCAGACCTCATATTGTTTGTGGTGTTGATACTTAAGGTGGAACTATGATGAGTGTGGAGAGACAGGGGCCTGCTGAAGACTATGCCTCTAGAGTGTGTGTCGCTGGGGCAGGGGAGTTTCTGTGCTCCTTCTTGAAGAACCCAGGCCCTTGGAGGAGGCGTGGCATGGTAAGAGGCTCTCAACCGATGTCCCTACCTTCCTCTCTCTCTCCAGCCTGTGAGGACCCCCCGGCAGTGCTCTTGGAAGTGCAGGGCACCTTACAGAGGCCCGTGGGCCGGGACAGCCGCAGCTCCCCTGCCAACTGTACCTGGCTCATCCTGGGCAGCAAGGAGCAGACGGTAACGGTCAGGTGAGAAGCAGAGCAAGACCCTATTCCTTTCGCCCACCCCTCCTCCTCTACCATGGAAAAGACTTCAGGGATCTTCTCCATGGAACTTCCATCCCTGTCAACAGGGGGAAGAGTAGAATTAGACTTGGCCTAGTCTTCCCTAAAAGCCTGGCTTGTTCCATGGTGAATTGGAACTGCCTGGAGTGGACATCTAGCTTGGGTCTTGTCATCTCTGAAGGACAACAGAAACAGTCCTTTCCTCTAGAAACAGTCCTTTCTCTCTGATATGGCTGCTTGGAGGAGTCCTTCAATCCATTGCACATCCTTGCTTGGGATTCAAATCTATTCCTTCATCAGCTTAGAACCTTCCTCAGCCTCCCCAGATCTTTTTTTTAAAAAAATATTTATTTATTTATTCATTTTATTTTGGCTGCACTGGGTCTTAGTTGCGGCACGCGGGCTTCTTCGTTGCGGAATACGGGATCTAGTTCCCTGACCAGGGATTGAACCCACGCCCCCTGCATTGGGAGCGCAGAGTTTTATTCACTGGGCCACCAGCGAAGTCCCTCCCCAGATCTTTTAAACAGTCCAGGTCTCCCTGGGCTCCTCCAACCGTGGGCCGTGGGGTTGGGGCCCATGTTGAGTACCTAGCTATTTGCTTCCCACAGCTCACTTCCCATGAATTTACCCAGAAAAGGGTAGGTGAAGGGAGAGGGCAATCTGGGGAGAGGTTGTTGGGGCAGAGAGATCAGAATGCCATGGTGATCTCAGGTCTCACCACTGGGCACTGGGAAGGGGATGGTGAGTTCTGGTTAATTAAGCTGTATGGTAATTGCCGGTTACTGCTAGCACCAGACTCGGGTGACAGTGTTGCAACAACAGGAAAGCAATGAATCTGTTCTAACTCAGTCCAGAACACAAGGCAGTTTTTCCAAAAGGCTCTAGGATGTACTCATGGTCTCATGGTGCCATAGGCCTCTGTTAGGGCTGTTGCCTTGATTACAAAGGAATTTGGCTAACTCCATTTTCATTTGGCTATTTGGATTGTGGATAAGCAGGTGTTCGTGCTTCTTGGAGTAGAACGGGCCTGACAACACTGGGGGAGGAAGAAGCCAGCAGTGGTCAAGAATATCTTACGGGGGCTTCCCTGGTGGTACAGTGTTGAGCGTTTGCCTGCCGATGCAGGGGACATGGGTTCGTGCCCCGGTCCGGGAAGATCCCACATGCTGCGGAGCGGCTGGGCCCGTGAGCCATGGCCGCTGAGCCTGCGCATCTGGAGCCTGTGCTCCACAACGGGAGAGGCCCGCGTACCGCAAAAAAAAAAAAAAAAAAAAAAGAATATCTTACGTCCTGCTCTCCTTCACCCCTGTAGGTTCCAAAAACTGCGTCTGGCCTGTGGCTCAGAGCGCTTAATCCTGCGCTCCCCCATCCAGCCACAGATCTCCCTGTGCGAGGCACCTGCCAGCCCTCTGCAGCTGCCTGGAGGCAACGTCACCATCACCTACAGCTATGCTGGGGCCAGAGCACCCATGGGCCAGGGCTTCCTGCTCTCCTACAGCCAAGGTGGGCTGGACAGGGCTGTCTGTAGTGCCACTAGAACAGGCAGTGGAAGCCTGAGGGAGGAGGGGAGGATCCTGGCAGCTCCAGTGCTTCACAGCCCCTCTCCATGGTGCCTCTGCAGATTGGCTGATGTGCCTGCAGGAAGAGTTCCAGTGCCTGAACCACCGCTGTGTGCCCTTGGTCCAGCGCTGTGACGGGGTCGATGCCTGTGGCGATGGATCTGACGAGGCAGGTTGCAGTTCAGACCCCTTCCCCAACCTGACCCCGGGCCCTGTCCCCACCCCACCCTGCAATCACACCTTGGAAGACTTCTATGGGGTCTTCTCCTCCCTCGGATACTCACACCTGGCCTCAGTCTCCCACCCCCAGTCCTGCCTCTGGCTGTTGGACCCCCATGATGGCCGGCGCCTGGCGGTGCGCTTTACAGCCCTGGACCTGAGCTATGGAGATGCAGTGCACGTGTATGATGGCGCCGGGCCCCCCGAGACCCTCCGGCTGCTGCGCAGCCTCACCCACTTCAGCAATGGCAAGGCTGTCACCGTGGAGACACTGTCCGGCCAGGCCACAGTGGACTACCACACAGTCGCCTGGAGCAGCGGTCGGGGCTTCAATGCCACCTACCACGTGCGGGGCTACTGCTTGCCTTGGGACCGACCCTGCGGCTTAGGCTCTGGCTTGGGGGCTAGCGAGGGCCTAGGCGAGCGCTGCTACAGCGAGGCACAGCGCTGCGACGGCTCATGGGACTGCGCTGACGGCACGGACGAGGAGAACTGCCCCAGCTGCCCACCTGGACACTACCCCTGTGGGGCCGCTGGCACCCCCGGTGCCACAGCCTGCTACCTGCCTGCTGACCGCTGCAACTACCAGACCTTCTGTGCTGATGGAGCAGACGAGAGACGCTGTCGGCACTGCCAGCCTGGCAACTTCCGGTGCCGGGACGAGAAGTGCGTGTATGAGACGTGGGTGTGCGACGGGCAGCCAGACTGCGCTGACGGCAGCGACGAGTGGGACTGCCCCTATGCCCTGCCCCGCAAGGTCATTACCGCCGCGGTCATTGGCAGCCTCGTGTGCGGCTTGCTGCTGGTCATTGCCCTGGGCTGCACCTGCAAGCTCTATGCCATTCGTACCCAGGAGTACAGGTCAGTGGGAATGCAGCTGGCAGTAGAGGCGTGGGGACTGAGGGCGGGACAGGGCCTGTGCAGCCACAGAAGTCCAGAGGGCGCCCACGTTGGGGACGGGTTCTGGTGACCAGCTTCTGGGTTGGCTCCTAGGGTTGTCTAGCTTGGCAGGCGTGCTTCTCTGAGAGGGGGACCAGTCTAGATCTTGAAAGCCATCTCAAGGAAGGAGGGGGATGTCAGATGACTTTGGAAAGCCGTGGCCTAGCTCCGGGTGCCCTGGCTTGGGTGCAGAAGAAAGAGGCCTGTCCAGGCTGGGGCAGGCGGCTCTGGTGAGCAGCACCTGTGACCGAGCCGTCCTCGTCCCTTCCAGCATCTTCGCCCCCCTCTCCCGGACAGAGGCCGAGATTGTGCAACAGCAGGCGCCTCCCTCCTATGGGCAGCTCATTGCCCAGGGCGCCATCCCACCTGTAGAGGACTTCCCTACAGAGAACCCAAATGACGTAAGTCACCCTCCGCAGCCGGACCACCTCCCACTCCCAGCCCTTCCTTCTTTCAGCCTTCTGGCCGTCCCCACCCGCTCTGACTCTGGTGTCTTCATCCTCTCCTTGCAGAACTCCGTGCTGGGCAACCTGCGTTCTCTGCTACAGATCTTGCGCCAGGACATGACTCCAGGGGGCGCCTCAGGCACCCGCCGCCGCCAGCGGGGCCGCTCTATGCGCCGCCTGGTGCGCCGTCTCCGCCGCTGGGGCCTGCTTCCTCGAACCAGTCCCCCAGCCCGGACCTCTGAGACCAGATCCCAGGTCACACCTTCTGCTGCTCCCCCTGAGACCTTAGACGGCAGCACAGGTCCAGCCCGTGAGGGCGGGGCGGTGGGTGGGCAGGATGGGGAACAGGCACCCCCGCTGCCTGTAAAGGCTCCACTGCCACCTGCCAGCACGTCTCCAGCCTTCCCCACTGTCCCCGAGGCCCCAGGGCCACTGCCTGCGGCGCCCCTGGAGCCATCACTGCTGTCTGGAGTGGTACAGGCCCTGCGAGGCCGCCTCCTGCCCAGCCTGCGGCCCCCAGGACCAACCCGGGCCCCACCTGGACCCCACACAACAGTCCTGTCCCCAGAGGATGAGGACGATGTGCTGCTGGTGCCACTGGCTGAGCCCGGGGTCTGGGTGGTCGAAGCAGAAGATGAGCCACTGCTGGTGTGAGGTGACCTGGCTCCCCTGGGTGCTCTATTCACAGTGACAGCAACCCTTTAGAGGGCAGCTCAGCTTCCCTTCCATTACTTCCCTCCCTGTCCCTCAGTGTGAGGGCACTTGATGGGCCTCCCATGGATCCCATGTAGCTGCTATAAAGTTAGGTGTCCCTCAGGCAGGGAGAGGGCTCACACAGAGCCCCCTCTCTGCGCATGGCCAGAGACCACAGTCCTCCACTACCCTCTCCCCACACCACCATTTGGGTGGCTGTTTTTAAAAAGTAAAGTTCTTAAAGGGTCATAGGCCTGGACACTCCATCCTTGCCAAACCCACCCAAAAGTGGCCTTAAGCACCAGAATGCCAATTGGCTGGAGACTTCCAGCCCCCAAGGGGAGGATTTGGGCAGGCCCTGGGGTTTTGCCAATGGTGATCCCTCCCACAAGGCCTAGCTCATAAAAAGAGCACAGCAAATGCTTTTGTTCCATAGCCAGGTCATTGTCCAGGAAGCCAAGGTTGAAAATAAAGGAATCAGAAATTTAAGATTTTTGTAAATGAGCTGTGAGCATGAGCCCCGCCTCTCTGCCCATCTCAGCTTATGCTCCCCTCACCTTACTCCTCCCTATGAAGCCCTTTGCTCTGCCCTCCACCTCCTGGCCTTTTCCTATTTATCTTCCAACCACCCATCCTTGTTTTTTATACCACTCAGAGGGTAAGAAAATTCTAGGAACCCTAAGACTAACCCTCTCCACCTCCACTCGCTGCCTGGGGCCCAGCTCTACAGTGACTGACACCAGCAGTGAGCACCAAGCCTCCTTACTCACCGCCAGGCCGGAAGTCATGAGCCCGCTGGGCCCTGCAGCTGAGAAACTTCCCATTTATGGAGTACTCACAGAGCACTAATCACAGAAGCAGACTGTCCCTGGTGAAACACTCCTGCCCTCCATCCTCCACCCTACCAGGCATTTTCAGTCTGTCCTAGGCAAGACAGATGAACTCACAGCCAGGATGCCTCAAAGCGGGCAAAGA